TTTGCTATACACAACCCACATTCTTTCAATTTTTCTGTTTTTTGCAAAAACAGGTTCACACACGCGGAAGCCCTACCCTACCCTACCTGTCCTCCCTTCCTGCTTGCTGCACTCCTTTTGCTGCGTCACCAAACTCTCTCGTCTGCCACCGCTTTATCCTCCCCCCCCGGTCAATCCAATTTCACTCGACCTTACAAAACCACCTCCAGCAGCCCGCACACTTCCCCCGGTGGGCTTATCCAACCATTCTGAACAACTCGCAGTAGTCCCTCCCATCCTTTCCAATTATCGTGTTTGGCTTCCTCGGGATCGATAGAGATGAAGCTGCAATTGACTTCCCTGATTTCCTTGTTGGCCGCCTCGGCCTCGGCTCATTCGTGGCTCGAGTGCGTCGATACTGAAGTTTCTAACTACGAGGCTGCAAAAGCCAATCCTGAGTTGGAAGTGTAAGTGCTTGTGCTCTGCCTCATCATGATTTCTTGCCCCCTCGCACTCGCTCCCCCTTGCCTCCCGTTGGCATGTGCGTGCTTTTTGCTAACATTCCCATAGTCAACAGACATGCAAAGGTTTCCCGCGCAACAAGGTTAGCAACGGGGATTGGATCCAGGAATCCAAAACCTATTTGTGGGATCTCAACAATGATTCCTTGAATCCCGATGGCCTTGCTTGCCGCCCATCTCAGACAAACGACTATCCTTCCGGTGTTCCTATGACCACAGCGAGACCGGGTCAGGCTCTCCGTCTTCGTCATTGGGGGAATGGTCATTCTCGCTACGATATGGGTTCTCCCCTCAACAAGGACCCCGGTGTTGTGAGATTGTATCATGGTGGGAGGAAGGAGGTCGAGATCAGGTTGAAGAGTGAATTGACCGAGCAAAACTGGGTCAAGGGTGCTCAAGCCAATTTCAGTGCGAACGCCATCATCCAGATCACCGGTAGCAAGATGAACGAGAAGGCCAACTACTTTGACTGGACCGTCCCGAGCAACTTGGAGAATGGTCGTCATATGTTTGTCTGGGCCTGGGGCTGGGGTTCGGCTGTCACGTCAAACCCTCCCAACTTTAATCCTGCTACCGACTACAATAACGCGTTGATGAACTCGTGGACCACCTGCTTCGACATTTTGATTGAGGGAAGCACTGCTAGTAAGAGCTGCCTATCTGTTACAACGCTTAACATTTCGCTAATTGTTCTGTAGCTGGGTCTGACTCGCAGACGTCCACATCCTCGACTGGCTCGTCCGCGCCCGCCACCAGCATTTGCTCCTCAAAGGAATGCTTGAAGGGAGGTATGGCCGCCAATCCTTGTACCGGATCTGACTGTCCACCTTGCTGGTATGCGGCGGGTGATAAGTACAATTGTTTCGACTACAAGGATGGCAAGTGCCCATTCGGGGGCGCTTACGATTGCAAGAAGAATCTTCAAACCCGTGGAGCCACCAGATTCCAGCGCACACCTTTCGAGTAAGCTCAATATACCGGTAGATTCGAGAAGCTTGTGGCCCTCGCCCGAAAAAGAAAAAACACAATACCCCTCTGTTTTTCCCGCAGTACCCAATCCCACTCTTGACGAGCTACGGGCCCTTTTTTCTGTTTTGTCATTTCAACTCTTTCTTGCTTTTTCCTCGTCCCCATACCCTTTTAACTTTTATATGCCAGTGACGCTTGACGCTTGCGTCCCGTGGTGGACACCTTGTGATACATGCTTGCACAGCTCTCCTTTAGCTGGGGTGGTGGATCAATGAATCGTGTATCTTACTGGGTAATTATCATCGCATCTAAGGGATGGCGGCCTTTTTTTTCTTTCCCCTTTCTGCTTCTCCTCTTCGATTCTAGTAACATACCTTTTTCCACTTTTAAATTTTTTTTATTTCATTTTTCTTTCTGGGTGATATTGCTTGGTGATTGGGGGACCCGACGAATTTTTTTTCGCTCTTGGGATAGAGGTTGCATTTGTAAAAATCAAATTTGATCTGTGGGATGGAAAAACAATACTATGGATTTTCCATCAAGTTTGTCCATTTATATCGCCTGTTGAGAGTGAGGGTTGTGATACTTTTGCTTTTATCCTTGTCAGCCGCCTTCGAGCAAAAAAACTAGGCGGGCCGTCATAGAAAGTTCAGAATTTCTCGTGGGAATTGATTCCAGAACAACATTATGGGCTGCTACCCATTCATTCGTATATCCATGCCAAAGCTGCTCGCATAGAATTCCTCAAGTGTGGGAGAAAAAAAAAAGACAATCAAGAACAGGGAAACTAGGGCTGAAACACCACCTGTCTGGAATATCCATTTCCCCGACCGACAGTTTTCCCTTTCTCTCTCGAGGGCCCCGGCGGTCGGGGGACGAGGGAGGGACGGCAGCTAACGCAGGACTCGGCCGTTAACCTCATTGTTTTTGGCGAGTGATTTCTGGTGAGCGTCTTTTTTTATGGGTCTGGTATGCATCATAATATTGTGTAAAACACTTCCTATTAGGACAAAAGAACAAATGATAATATTAGAAACATATATACCCTGGGTTATCATGGAAAATTGTAGGTTGGGGAGATGTGCGATGGTGTGCTCTTTGTTCCTTTCCTTATGGCACTGTATGAGGGTGATATTAATAAATTACTGGTGGATTCGCATGAATGGGATTACTGTGCTGTACAGTATAGCACTGATATTTTTAAGTTTAAGCTGTCCAAGTTAGTATTGTATAATATAGTGCGCTGAAATTTCGCGACGGCTATCATCGCTCTTCACCTCACCTCATGTGGCAACGAACTCAACTCGCTTTTCTGCCACACACCCCGCCCCCCTCTTATAAAAAATTTGGTACCTTCCTTATCTGCGATGCCAACCTCCTTCTCCTCCCTTCCTCCCTCCCGAATGATTGACTGCCCTCTACCGTACGTCCCGCCCCCCCCCCCCCCCCACTACCACTCACCGGCACCTTAGAACCTACTTTGGGCCTGACCCACCCAATCTGGGATGCGGGTCCTAGTAGATTATTCCAAATCAGGTGGTATCTAGGCTGATTATTCTGCACTCTTTTTTTTTTTCTTTTTCCCCTCCCTCTCGTACAATCTCTGAAGGCCCCACAACACCAATCGGAAGAAAGACTAGAAAATATGTTCCTGAAATATGTTCCTGTGGTCAATTGGAAAAAAACTGCGGAGAGGGAAGAAATTTTAAAAGTTTTGTTTGTAGACGGCATGGGGTGAGGTGTCCATGGATGGTAGGTGGTACAGTACCATACGGGACCAGGATAAGGTCCTAAGATACCGGCACCATATCATGCACGATATTTGTCATTTAGAAATTTGGCGGCCGGGGGAGCATTTATATGCCGCATGTACTACTACTACTACTTGGCTCCCACACGAAACTGTGAGTGGCCGATGTTGCAGCTGGAGGGCCGGGGGAGGGGAATCGTAAGGATACTACTTACTAACTTTGCAAGGGGCACTAGAGGTATGACCATTCCCCACTGTCCTTGGATGGAAGAGTGTCAGGATTTTTAACTTTCCCAACCCCCCCCCCGGCGGAGCCGGACATGTGGAACTTTGAAAAGAAAGGTTCATAATGGTTGCACCGCAAAGTGGATTTTCTCCATCTACTGGTATTGGCGATCCGTGACGTTTTCAATGATGTTCTTGTAATCGATAGCTGGGGGGTATACGAGCCATACTGACGGTCATGTTGGTGTGGGCGGCCCAATAGGAGTAAGTCTCACTGAGCTTTGTAGCGGCACCGGGTATTTTTATTTTCCTCTTTCTCACTACTCTGGTTTTTGTTTCATTGTTGAGAAATGGTCCTCCGGGTGGAGGTACAGTACAGTATAGTACAGTGAGAGACTTGCTTGGACCTCCTGCTCACTATACAGCATATAGAAGTGTATGTAAAAGTGGGTATTCTGCATCATGACTCGCGTCATCGCAATAGTGCATAAATATACTATACCGTTGCTGTTCCGCTTTAGCTAGCTAGAGATCAATTCAACAATCTTCCGCTGCACATAAATACGTTCAATTCTTTACATTCACGGGAGAATTCTGGTTCGAGTGATGCTCTGTGCCTGTACAGGACTTGTGATTTTTTATGAATTCACGGTCTGTGAGATACATGACAGTTTTTTTCTTCTTTCTTTCTCCCCTGGTGACTGAGTATTTGCTTTGGCGTCTTGGGTATTTTTTATTTTTTTTCCCCGCTAGGTATGCTTTATCATAACCTTCGGCATACACTTATATATTATAGCTATCCTATCACGGTATGCAGCCTCGCTGATCACCCGTGAAAAAGCTACAGTATCATACACCGACCACCCTCTGGCGTATGATAGCATATAAGTTTCTCCTACGTTTGTAAGCCCTCAAGTATGGAGGGGCGTAGGTAGGTAGGGGGAAAAGTCTAGCAAAGTCCTACCTGCTCTCACAATCCTATTCAAATTCTGTGAGCCACTTTCGCCAGACTTTCCTCCATCCCCTTCGTACTCTCACTTTCACCGGAAAACACCCTGCTATCCACCGGGCATCTCTGACAATCACATTTGGATAAGCTGTGGCATGGCGCAAGGCTATAAAGAACTTTTGGTAGCCTGAATGTGCCCGAGGAGAATCTCTGCAGGTTTACTCCGTCCGTCGGCAGCCTACCACTTTAACTCCCCTCCGTCTCCACTGAGCAAACCCGTCACCGCCGACAAGGCTGGTTCTCCGGGGCACCAGGGTGGGGGAGCGAGAAGACCATAGGTCACAGAACAGAGTATGCAAACCTAAAATCAAGATTATATAATATAAACTCTTCAGTTCTTTGCAAGTTGTTGGTCTCCAGGAACAATTTTTAGCGGTGTTGGTAGGTATTGTCGAGGCCGTGCCAGAATTTATACCTATATATATATCATCCCTCACGTCGTCAAGACTCGAGTGCCCCTATTCCCCGACAGCAGAGTAGTAGTAATTGTAATGTACTAAGAGGGCTACTCCTTGGAACTACTGTACATACCCAGTCTGGCACTTGTACCTTTCTGGGCTTCTGAAATAATAATTTTCGGATGCTGTGCACGATGGTAAGGGGGGGGGGGGTGGGGGGTGCTCCAGTGGATATCCCGCGAGTGACTGTTTGTGAGGATTGTGACTAATCACTGCTAACTTGAGTTGTGAAGGGTTTCTGGTATCGTAGGGGGTTCCGGGAGGGTCTGGTCTGGATGGCAGATTGTCATTATTATAGTAAGGGGGGAAAAAAAGGAGTCTCGGTGGATTTCTGGATTGTGGTTGGCGGGGTAGAAGGAAAGAGGTTTGCCTGTCACGAGCTTATAGATATAATTAAATGGGGGATGGTGCTCTCGTTGGGGTGTGTCCGGTGGAGTATGTCGGGACTCTCGAACTTGGGGTGGTGAGCGGGAGGGCTCCTGGCTCTGTTGGGTAATTCTTGACTAGTTGTACACAAGTTTCTAGGCTTCTGAACTTTTTTTACTTTTTTTTTCTTTCCACTGTATATCTCGCAGTCAAAAGGGGGGAGGAGGGAAGGAGGAGGGATTTCAAATTTAGAATTCGGGGGCCGATTTCGGGTGGGGACTTTTTTTTTTTCCATCTATATTTCACGGTGGGAATGCTTGTACGCTAAGACGCCCCGTTTCATATAAAAGCTTGGATCACAATGGTAAATCAGGAATCCTTTACCTGAAAAGGTGTCCTTTTGAGGGATGGATGGACCGTGGAGGGAACTGGGCAGATGAGGGCGGAACCCTCGGGTTGGAAAGTTGCGGGTATCATACTTGTAATGCGCAATTGCTCCAACGGTTAATGCGCATGCGTTGGCTTAAGGTGGGGAGGCCTGAGATGCACCAAGTTTCGCGACAATCATTATATTATCACCTCTCGCTCTGCACACTTCTATAATTGCTCCTTGAGCGCCTCCGATAAACTTTCCAATACCCTCCTTACTCCAGCGTTAATCTCCTCTCGAATAACCACTCTCAGCTCCTCCGCAGTGGGCGGTTCACGCCTAGCGTTTCTGCGCGCATCGGGAGGATCGTATGTGGTCTCGGTCAGGTCATCGGGCTCTGATTTAGGAATGGGGCTTGGTATCCGGTTATCCGGAAAAGGCGGCGCCTCCTCTAAAATCGGGGATGGAGACATGCGGGAGTCTTCTGGGCTTAATGGTGCAGGGGGGCGGGTTGATTCCTACATAATCAGTGGGTGATTAGGAAGTTTGGTGGGGAATTGGGGGAAGAATACTTTAGTATCACTCTGTAGGTTTTCTGCGGAACTGCTCATAATGTCCCCGATCTGTCGTTCTAGCGTAGAGACTAGCTGACGAAGTAATGAGAGGCTACTGTGACCGTTGGAAATGCAAAGCAACTCCTCACCAGCTTTTACTAGAGGGTGGTGAATGTTTATGTTGGAAGGATATAGGTATAGGGTATATGAGCATCCCGGTGAACTACATTTGGTGTTGCAGGCAGTTATTATTTTGATAGGCCTGGAGTAGAGGAAGGTGCCTAGGTCTTGAGGTCATAGCATTACTGTTAGCCTAGAATACGAGTAGCAGAGCAAGGGGAGTGGAACCATGAGCTCGCTGTAATAGAAGGCTTTCTCCGGGCATGGTCGATGTTGTGGAAGGGGCAGGGTCTCAAGCGAAGCAGGGCCTGGGAAGCAAGGCCGCGACAGGGTTGGCAGTTGATTATCGAAGTTATGTCCCTGGCGGTGTTATCGAATTGTAATTCGTACATTCACTGGCAAGAGGTGTCCGGGGATAGTAGGGGTTTATTGTAAAGAGGTTTTAGACTGGGGGTTCTGGCATTTGTGTTGAATCCCTATTATTACCTCCTCCTCTCTGCAAGCTACTATCGTAATGCCTGTAGTGATGGTGTTATATGATAAGAGATTCCCAAGAGAATGCGGGGAGCTATTGGTTCTTTGTAACCCTAACCCTTGTCGCCACTAGGCCTGGGGCGGAGGATACAGCAAATAGGATCTATCTGTCTCCCTACTGTAGGCCTTTGCTAGCGGGTTTGGTGTGCGAGTTGCGGGCGTGAATAGAGGTTCTGTGGGCAATAAGGAGGCGTTTGATGGAGATGGTTCTTGGGGTGATGCTTCACACTCGTTCTTAGATTGGTGGGGAGGGGGTGGGTTGAATTGCCGAGGTGGTTGGATCATAGTTTAGATAAGGATTCCAGGCTTACCCCACTCTCCACACTGCTACCCTGTGGGATACGAGGACAGTGCCGGTGCATGAGCGTTTGGGGATCTCTTCCATGTACCCGAGCACAGTACAGTGGTGCCATCCCGCGTTGGTTGAGCCTAATACACACTTGTTAGCGTCCTTGGATAGTGCAGTTACAGGAGATCCAACCAAGCTGGGAAAGAGGACGAATGAAGATGCGAAGAAATAGCACCGTACTGAGGATTTCCTCGAGTGAGGTGTCGAGGAAGGTGTTTTTTTGACGGGAGCCCCACGGGGGCGGCTTTACAATAATTGTGAGATAGGGACCTACTGGTCCAATGGGGAGATTACCCCACCCACCCTTCAATTGACCGTCGAGGCGCCCGATGGCATATACCGGTCAAATAATGTAGCAATAAGGATATTATTGGCAACGGTTCGAGTTTGGGGTTGCTGTGTGCTAAATTGCATCACTCGATTCAGAGACAAGGCTGGATTTTTGGGAATCGAGCGCGAGAAGTAGATCGAAGAACGAGTACAAGCACAATGGATTGGTAGAGATCGGGGGTGGATTGTGTGTTCCAATTGCTTTATTTCTTGTTTGGTATACGGGCATAGGACCTCGCTGCTTAAAATAGCGTCTATATTCATCGATAATTGGCCATTCTCCGAATCTCGATCTGTCGGATTGCACTGCGAGCGGGTGGGGGTGTTTGCACTTTCTGTGGAGTGGCAGACGTCTGATCCAAAGCGGGAACAGGTACAGCTCCACCGGTATCGTTTCTCCGTGTCTGGGTGTTCTCTAGGCACGTTCGGCCAAATGGAGATGAATTGGGATGTCGGGTGATAATCCGCCAGCTCTTTTTTTCCGGGATCACCAGATAACTCTTACATGTTGGGTCTGGGTGGAAGGGAGGAGAAGACAGAAGTTCCAATGCTAGAGAAGAGTAGATGAATATAAGGATGCAGTAGGTGATCAAAGGTAGTGGTAATGGTAGTAGCAGTAGGCCAGTGCAGGGGCGTTAAAACAGGCTCGATATAGTTGACCATCTGGCCACAACAACAGCGAAGGGGCAAGGCTAGAAGATACAATTTGGGAAAAGGATCCCTCTGGACCTTAAATTGACCCAATAGTTTTCCGGGGGGCTAATGCTTAGAGTAGCGAATTGTTGGAATTATCTGTTAGTGATACTATGGAATTACGGTGCTAGGATAATTTGTCCTTATTGTTATATCATTTTGACCCTTCTTAGCCTTGAGGTGGTTGGAATCCTTCTAAGTTAATTATATCCCCCACCTCTCCTTCGTCAAACGTTGGCCAAAAATTATGTTGAGAAGCCTTATATCTTACACAGAAAGCAATTAAGTGCCGGCGAAACAATCTTTATGTATACTCTAATTAGGTCCTCAGAGGAGAAACAATTCCACCTCCATTCTTGTATTCTGGGCCAAACATTCGAAGTAGTGACTGCGAGGTAGGCACTAAACATAAGAATGAAATTGCTTGAGTGAGTGATATACTATGATACCTCGACAATGACAATTTCACGGGACTCGGGCTGGAGGGGCTGAGGGGGTCACTAGCTACTCAAAAAATGTAGGGCCGAGGTTGTAAAAATAATATAGTGAGTTTATGCAAAGGTGCACACGGGAGGACAGATTCAACCGACTAATCAAGGTTTCTGTAGTTTATTTATCCCAGCGCCGCCGACCCGGCATAAGGCTAGATTAATCCGATCCACGCCGTGCACTATGGCGTGCTCATGTCGGACTCTAAATAGCAAATCTGAAACGCACTGACCACAACCAACATTGGCTTTTCTGCGATCCTCTTCTCCCATGGAGTTGCCAGAGTGTATTTATTCCCATGCAAGTACAGACAACGATTTTCATCTGCCCACACTTCAACGTCTGCCAACCACTCTCCAAGAAACCCCCACAAAAAGCATACCGGTACCCACTTTCACTACCACTCCTGCTTTTACCTGCAACCCCTCCATTCTCCCTCCCCTCCAACAATTTTCGCAACCGGACACAACCGAGTGACACCCTGTGACACCAACAGCAACACGCTCTCCATACCTTCACCTAGGCCTGCACCTTACCGCCCACGACCATGAGCGCAACCATGTGCAGCCCAAATATGAGACATCTGTGCTAGGCACCCGCAGGAGCGCGCCTGCACCCTACATTCCCATGCTATACTGAGACAAAGTGCGGAATCTCCCGTGCATGGCAGTCTTAAGTAGGGAGTGCTGGAGCGGTACTTTCCCGCCTAATGCTGTAAGAGACCTTGGATTGGTGAAAGGTTTAGGAAGCCGTAGGGAGACTGCGTGGAGCATACGGTGCTGCACTCGAGTACGTTGTGTCGTATGTTAGATGTGATGTGATGTGATGTGCTGGTTGGTTGTAGGACGGGTTTGGGTGCCTTGTGGCGGACCGGTGGGTTGGAAAGTTGGGGTAGGGGAGGGATGGGGTCTTTTCCCCCCTTCCAGTCGCTTGTGTCTGTGAAGGGGGTACGGGCGATTTGGAGGGAGGGCAGAGGAGGGGGGCTGTTCAATGTTGGCGGATGGGTGGATGGGTAGATGGGTGGATAGTTTTAGCTGTGCTTTGGGTGGCGGGTGGGCGGGGATATATGTCCGGCGGCCGGAAAACGGTTCGCTAAATTGTGGGGCGATAGATTAGATTTTTTTTTGTTCCGAACACTATTTACCAGCCGCCTCTGGAGGAAGCTTCGAGGGGATGCTCAGGAATAATACACAACTAGACTGCAGCAATGATTTGAAGGTACGTTGTTAGAGAAAATTCGACTTACTCCGAGAATTGAATAGTGAAATAAGAGTACTATATGGCACGAAATTAACCTATATACCCAAATGCCGGTCGAAGGCCCATCTAAATATTTACTATGACTCAGCCGCCAGAATGAATATGTGAGCGCAGAAGCCCGGATCATGCATTATGATACCACCGTCTAACTCTAGTCGCCAATACCAATACCAATACCAAACCCTAGATAAGAAGAAAACCCAAACCCTCTAATAATATTCCCAGCTTAGCTCCCATCGCGGTGGCGGCGGCTGCTCTATATGCTCTGGGGGCGGCCGCTCTACATCCTCCGGGGGCGGTGGGGTCTGTGGAATCTTCGGTGGGGCCAGTGGTACCTTCGGAGGTTTGGGCGGCGGCGGGACTTTACGTTCTAAACGTCCGGGATTATTGAACAGCTTCGAGCGGCTACTTCTCCATTCGCCGATCAGTGTCAGAAACACGAGTGCCCAAAAGTTTTCCGGAGAAAGGGTTATCACCGTCGCGGATCCGTCTCCGCCACCACCAAAGGAACCTCCGCAGTGCGCGGTTGCGCATGGGTAGATGTTTCGCCCGCCTCTTCAATAACCGGAATCAATCCCGAGCGGTCGGTATGTCGCTCGCTCAATTCATCGCCCAAGCACGCCCTTTCCATTTCCACCGCTCGCAAGCGCTCTTCCTGCCCCATCTGGGACTGTAATTCCTGCTCGCCTTTTTCACCGAGGCCCAAGTATACTTTTGCTAGATCATCGCTCAGGCACGCCGGCCGGTGTCTATCGAAGAATTCCGGTGGAAGCACACCTTTCTCTCCTACCAATGAACCGGTCTGGATGTCGTCGCTGAGACCTTGGACTTCGTGCCCTTGGTTGAATTTGTGTCTGTGCGCGATAGATGGGCGGTGAGTTATGTCGTCGCTGATACAATGTGTGTTTGGCTTTGTCGCAGCTATCCCCGGCAACTCGGTCGGTGGGGGTGGAGGGGAGTTTTTCGCGTCATCGGTGGGTTCCGGGGGGGTTGGGAACCAGGGCCCCACGGGGCCGGTGTACCGGTATTGTTGTAATTTTTTATCCGCTCCACCCGCAGATACATTTGGTTCTGATGAAGGTGAAGTGGGTGGGGTGTGTAAATTTTCCTGAGGTTTAGGTACTGGTTTCCGATGTTCTGCGGCACGGTCAATTTCTAAAGAGTTTGTCCGGTCGGGCCCGGACCATGATTGCGTTGACGAGTGCCTCCGGGGTGGGGCTCCGGGATCCGCTCTATTCCCGCCGAACTCCGGGAGACTCACGACTGTGGTTGCGGTTCCCGGCCGATCGAGTGGGTTTGGTGGCAGTCGGCTAGGGGTGGTTGTAGTTTCTACTGGTACCCGGATTATTTCCAGTTCCGGAAAGGTCGCTTCTGACCTTGCCGCCCCAGGCTTGGGTTCCGCGCCGAGTGGGGATGCGGTTCTTGTTGCTCCCGCCCCCCCGGGGGTTGGAGATGTTGGGAGACTCGGTAGCTTTTGTGGGGTTGGAGAACCCTGCACCAATGGCACCACTTGCACACGATGCTGGTCTTCCTGTCGTTGCCGTCGTAGGATGTCCTCTTCCTCCTGTTGCCTTCGGAGGACTTCCTCTCGGGCTTTTCTTGAGTACACCGATGATGATGCGTTGCTGCTACCGGTACCAGTACTAGGGCGTCTGTCCGAACCCTGAAAGGTGGGTGTTGAAGTATGGGGAAGACTCAAACTCGAAGAATTACTACTTGGTGCGTTGAAGAGTGAGCCTTCCTGACTGGAGACATCGCTGTGTGTTGAGGCAGGCAGCTCTAAGCCCTGGTCTTTCATTGTGTCTCGTTTGCGGTTATCCTCTTCTTGTTGCTGGATTAATGTCTGTAGAATTTTCTGTTGGCGGTATGTTGAATTATTGCCGCCCAGTGATGCTACGGTGGGAACGGGAAGCGCCATTTGTGTTGGTTGACGAGGGGGCGGCGGTCGTCTCTGTGGAAGGTTATGCGGTGGGGTGTTCCCTATGCCTCCTCGTCCTGGTCCTGGCATGGGAGCACTCGGTATCCAGGGATTTTGCGCGATCGAACCCCTCCCAGGCGCGGGAACGCCTCTGCCCACTTGTTGCGGGCGAGCCGGGATTACCCCTCCGAAAGCTGGACTAAGCGGCCATGGAGGAAGCCCTTGCACCTCGCCCTGCCGTCGATACACCGGTACCTGCGATACCGGTCTCATTATAGGACTGTACGTCGGGATCGGTGCGTGCGGCGGTAAACCATTTCTCCCGGAATTCATCACCCCACTGGGCTCGCCTCTTCCTCTTCCCCCTCCGACCATCCCCCTCCCTTGTGCACCACGCCCCCGATGGCTTATGCCAGAATCCATATTCTCCGTCAATCCCGCGACTACTTCGTCCAAGTCATCCTCCTTGTCCTCAGTCTTCTCCTTGTCCTCAGCCTCCTCGAATGGATTCCCCCTCGGTCGCGGCGGCGCTACTCCTGGCGGACGGGGCTTCTGCCCGGTAGTGTGTGGGAGCCCAAGACGCTCAGAATTGTAGTCTGTTCGGTATCCCGTGTCTTCCACTGATCCCTCGTAGGTCGTTTCGTGCGTTGATACAAGACTAGCTCCTCCCATCAGAGCGGATGGCACGGGGCTTTTGTGGTCCTTTTTCCCTTCTTGTTTTCCGAGTTTCATCGTATTTTTCTGTCCTCCCCCCCATCTCCCACTCCACACCCCCATCCATTAAGACTTCATCCATCTAACCGTGCCAAGGTTGTGGCGGAGCCACAACACTCGATTGCTCACAATCTTGGGCGCGTCTGCGACGTGCCCTACAGCTCAACGTGGGATTTTATTTGTATGTGGGTTTAAGAATTACGAACCACTGCCAAACATTCAGTGATGCTTTAAATGTCCTTTTGGCTTCTCACACATTGTTTTAAGTCTTTGCAAATAAGTCTTCCGTTTTTTTCCCTCTCTTTTACAGCTTTTATTTTCGCGTGGTGGGACTTTGGTTTGGATTAAGCGTGAAAGTGTCGTTGAGCCGAATCTTGCGTTGAGCTCTAGGAGCTGTAGGACACGTACTCGAGTAGACGTGCCCAAGATTGTGAGCAATCGAGGGTTGTGGCGGAGCCACAACCTTGGCACGGTTACTCAACGGCAGCATCGCCCACCCATGATCCTACGACGCTGGTTGCGCTGCGACGAAGCAGATGAAGCGAGTACATAGTCAAGCGGTGGGAAGGCCTTGGCGGTTTCGTGAAGGCGTTGGCTAAGCGCCATGCAGGTGCCCACCTGGAAGGGCTCGAATGGAACCTGCTCGACATTGTGCTGGAGTTGTCGGTGGCATTAAAGTTAATTCGCAGGCTTCACAATAGTCCAAGCGACTCACCCAAGCATGAGGAATAGGAAGTGGTATATTTGCATACCATACTCGCCAGCCAGGATGTAAAACCCGTGCTTGAGGCTAAAAGGAGGGTCTGCTGCATGGCTTTGGCCAGGGGGTTAAGGGGTATGCCTCTTCTGCTCCTTATTACATTTTCTATTCTAGCTTTTATTTTAACTTCACTTCTGTACTAGGTTATTATTCCGGAAGCAACTTCTTCTGGCTCTGACCTGGTCTTAAGAAACTGACTTCCCTGCCCCGCCACATTGAGTCTCTAGTTGGATTACCCATTCTCCTGGCCTCCAGCCCACCTCAGGCTTATAATACGATGTGTTGATTTCTTCTGTCATATGTAGGACTCAAAACATATGATCACCTGAATCATCAGAGAAGTATAAGTCATTCTTGGAGGCTGCATGTGGTAAGTACATGACAAGTATCATGATGATAGTGAGTAAGAGTATAAGTATGATGATGAGTTCTGCAACAAGCATGGTGACAAGCTGGATGTCATGAAAGTTGAGTATTTTGAAATTTTTAGGTTGTGGAAATAGGTGTACCCAGTCTACTATAAATGTAGGCTTATACAGTATCTCTGAACTAAACAGCCTAATAACTGGGATGACATCTTCCTATTTGGCTACATGTAACGGGCAGGGACTGAGGGTCGGGTAGCCCAAGGCATACCATGATCAGGACAGGCAGGAATCTGGAGACAAGGTCTAGGTACAGGGGTACAACCGAGGTAAGTTGTACGAGGTTCGGGGTTCAAGGGTTCAGGGTCAGGGTTCAGAGGTTCAGGAGGACGCAAAGTAGAAGAGAGTGTAATTCCTAGGTACAGGTGTCTGAATTATATCTAAGTTTATTTATCCTAGTTGCACCAAAACATGGCTTATGATCTAGCTAACATCCCTCCTAACCCATAAATCATAGCAAAATTTACTACCACGGCGGACTGTCTGGCAACCCTCCCCCCAAACATAAATCCAAAATTCCACAACCAACAGGTTCATGGGCGCTCATGCCACAAGCGACACCCCAGATTAATGCGTCTTCCTGTCCCGCAAATCCAATCTTTCACGCACACCACCATCAGCAATTTCATCTTCCACATACTCAACAAATGAAATATACAATCTGTCCCAACAGCGCATAGCGTTCCTCCAATGACCAGCAACATTAGCAAACATGCCATCACAAAACACACACTGGGGCCCCTTAATCAACTCATAACTCCTCGCCCAAGCCAATACATGCGACACCCGTTCTGCCAACTCCATATCCCCAAACTGTCCATACATCCATACCCAGTGTATATCCATACACCGGTCCAAACAATGTAGGGAATCGTTTACATGTACCCAGAAGGCTTTGATCAGCGACTGTCCATCCAGCTGTCTCCTCCGTCTCGCTACCAGAGAGTTGCAACCAGGACATGTGGTCGTCTCGGGAGGCAAAAGGAACCACTTACTAACTGCCCCCTTAACACTGGGCAACTGACAGTACCCAGGCTCGTAAGCCGTCTCACATCTTCCACATGTTCAGCCACTACTCTTAACAATCAGCTGTTTATCCTTCTCGACCAACATAGTCCCATTGAGCAGATTTCCAGACACCACCAATTCATGGTCCACCTCGACCACATTCCTCAAGATACTGAGTCCCAACCCATGATGTTCCCTCCACCATGCCCGCCAGGCCCCAACCTTGCTATCTTTATACAAAGTGTCTGCGGATGGCCGATCACGGTAATATCGCATAGTCATGGTCTAGTGGTCCTGGTTACTCCTTCCAGTGCATTCATCATGTCCAACCAGGCCAGTGCCACTGCGAATCCTAGTCACCATATAAGCGTTCAGCTTTGTAAGGCCTCAGAGGTGTCGTGGTGCTGTTGGTCCCGGTTCATAGTACCTGTGTCCCTGGGCTGTAGGGCATGCAGTCCACTCGTTATGCCGCAGTCCACTCGTTATGCCGCAGTCCACTCGTTATGCCGCAGTTCACGTGCCAGTGCTGCATGTCTGATGCCAAAACTGACACTATCCCAGTCACATGGTCGCAGTTTATAGTGTACGTACTCCTTGGCCCGTAGGTCGACAACCTCACTGGCATTCCCAACCACTCCAGTATGCCCGGGGACCTACTCGCAGGAAATCCTGCCATACCCATTCAACAATGGAGCGAATACTTCCCACATCTAGGCAGAGTCATCCTCAGGAAACATTCCCTCTATCAGCATCAGCGCAGGGACACAATCCAAGAATATGTGAGCATCGTGTAAGGGGTACACTTCCTTCAAGTACCTCAAAGCCCCCACAACCGCGAACAGTTCACACTCCATGATACTCCAGGATGGCAGCATTGCCTGCCCTATTACTCGAACAGCACCCCGATGGTATACAGCCCAAGCTACCCCTGCCTTCCCTGAGTACTTGGATCCGGCAGTGTAAACCACCAGACGAGGAGAACTCAGCAACCCCCTGATCTTCTTGTTGTATCTGGCAGTAAGTACTTCCTTGCCTTTACCCATCGCAACTGTTGGTCAAGCCCGAAGCTTGACCTCAGAAGTCTGCTGCTCCGCCACCATTCCTTCCTCCCTCCAATCCAACCTGATGTGCCTGAACCACGGATAGTTATCATAGTACCGCAGGTTGATGTATCTACTATAACATCGGTGCTGTAGATACTGTCCTTGAAGATGAACGGGTGGTACACCGAACTCAGCGAATAGGATATTATTGGCCAGCTTAAAGGGGGTGTGGAATACGGAGTGGAGGCATTGGTTGATGTGGACCTGAATCTGCTTCACATACGACCTATAGTCGGTTACAAACTCAAGTCCATAGTAGACGGTCGGGAGGTAGGCTGCTTGCACCAAATGGTAAGTTTCCCATGCTCCAATACCACCCACTCTACCATATCTCCATCCCTATGCCCCAATCCTCCTGTAACGGGGGCTCCCTCAGGTAGATAGTTCCTAAGGATGCGACCGCACCAAACTTCGAATCTCTTGAACACAACTCTTGTAAAGTGTAAAGAATAAAAGTAAACGGTAAAACTTAATATCGTTAAGCTCAGGCTTATCTCAATTAAAGTCTCTCGAGGGGATGTTGATTGTGTCGGGGCAGGAGAGTTCTCGTATAAGCTTCAAGTAGTCAGACTTATACCAAAAACTCCCCTATCAGGTCGCCCCGACCAACATGAGCATGCCCTTCTCCATAAGGGTTGCTGGCACCATTACCGCATCCCCGAAGGGTCTAAGGTGTCAGCGCACTCTAGCAGAAATCTCCTATATGCACATCATTTCCTGCGAGGCGTTTACTAATACACCTGCCGGAGCGAAAATCTCTGCGCATCAGTGTCTCGTCAGTGGCTAACTGTCGAGACTCCTAGGAAAGCTAACTAAATGACTCTCTTCCTATGTGCTATGATCCATGCAAGCACCCGTAGACATCAGGTGTCCTCCGGTTAAGTTCTATCTTCTTGGATTGTAAACTTACGGGGTCTACGACGCTCCCACGAGGAGCTGTGTCGGCGGCGGGACCCGTGGGCGCTACCCATGGTCCCTTACCCCCGGCACACCACTCAGCGTGATAGGTATCATGCTATTAGAGTCTTCCAACAACCCACTAAGAGCCTACAGCAAAGGGGCACGTGTAGGCATGATTGGCGTAAAACCTTCCCAGATGTCTCCGGGACTACCCGGGACTACTCTGAGGACCCTTCCGGATAGCTTACGCTAACTCCGTCAGTTTTGGTCCGTCTTACTCCGTTCTTTTTGGAGAAGGTACTTGACCTTCTCACCTTGGCCCCCTTATATATCCTGCGAACAGCTTCCGGTCGGATGGACGGCGGCGACGTATACAGTGTTATGGACATGTCTTCAATGATTCCATTTAACTAGTAAGACGGCAACTTCACCCATTTTGGCCTATGACGCCCGGGGCGAACCCTGGGGCCACAGGTACCTGTTAGGAATTATTCTGCCAAGTTACAGCTTGTTCGGAGCACTCTAGCTCCTCCCGTACCCTTCCGATCAATGTGCAAGCAAGTGCCCATCGATCGTCTTTGCTTGACAAACAATCCTAACATTACACAGGATCTTTCCGAGAACGTTTCCGACAGAAGGTAGGGTAATAGTGTCCCAAAGGTAGGGTAAGTATGTCCATGGTGACACGAAACAGGTCTCCATGGCAGGGTGACGTGACTTATCTATTGTAACGGACAGGGTCTGAGGGTCAGGTAGCCCAAGGCACACCATGATCAGGGCAGGCAGGAATCTGGAGGCGAGGTCTGGGTGCGGAGGTACAAC